TTAAAATTTACCCATGTCTAATATAAGATTTAAAAATAAGAGAGTAAATATAAAATTGATAAAATTGTGTTGGTGTAGATTTTTTAATTCACCCCCGCCTAATATAAGATTTAAAAATAAGATGGTAAATATAAATAATACCTTTATTGATTTTTTTTAAGAAATTAGGGTTTCTTAAATAAAAAAAACCTTTTGACAACTTCAGCCGCCGCCTCCTCCAGCCTGCAGAAGAAGACACTGCCACTATTTCAGTTGGCGCCATCCGTCATTGCTTCAATCGTCGCCGCCGCTCCCATCCACGCAAAACGCGCCGCAGCATCCTTCCTCGCTCTCATCCATCAGTCGCTGAACGGCTGCTCAGGCGAGTTTGTTTCCCATCGACTGGAGCTTCGCCAGACGCTGCCGTCGAGTCATCGGTGGTTCACCCAACTAGCAACAGTCGCCCAACTCGCCCAACTGGACGCTCACGCAGCCGCCCCATCCACGCCGACGCACGAACCACTATCCCATCCATTAGTCGTCGAACCCCTGCTCAGGCGCTCTTGTCCTCCATGGAGCTTCGTTAGCCGTCGCTCGAAACCGCATTACAAACTAATACTGCTGCCATGCCATCCATATCGCCGCCGCACCGTCAATACCTCCCTGCCGTTTGAACAAGATTCGTTCGTCAATACCCCGACTGTTTGAGGTAGGTCTTTGTTCTAATTAAGGTTGATTGTTTGATGAAGGTTTTTGCAGCTTAATTTAGAAAGAAATTTTTTGTCTTCTTAAATTTCAGGTGTATTTTTAAAAATATATAAATATGGGACCTACCGTATTGTTAATAACCATATTTGAGGAGTATATGTGTTTAACTCCAACAAACTTACTATATTTAAGTAAATTAAAATCTAAATAATATCTATAGATATGGTTAGAGTTAGAGGAGGAATAACTCGACGATCGAGTGAACGATTGAAGGCTGTTGGAATAACAGGGGGTCGAAGAGAAACGAGCACAATCAGCTTAGAAAGTAAAGAACAGGTGTATCTAAACCTGTTTACATATGGATTGTTTGTTTTGTTAAAAATCCTCAAGTTTAATCTGTTTTGTTTTATTTTTATATATACAGATTGAATCATCAAGTCCCCAAAGAAAGACTCCAATGAATACTGTAGAATGTGATGTTGTCCAAGGAAAGAAAAGTAAGAAATTGAAGGATACCAGCAAAAAAAGGGGTGGAGGAGACTTGGTCGGAGGCAAAACAAAACAGATTAAAATTGACCCCAAAAGGAATTTGGGTTATAAGGAATCCACCAAGAAGGTAAGAACTCAGTGGATGTTGGTGTATATTTAAAAATTAGATTCTAATTATACTCTTATGCTCCAGGGAAAAGGAAAATATCTCAAGATAGTTGAGAAAGAGTGCGTTGTTAGTGAGGTAATTATTGTGATATACATGTACTAGCTTTTGTAGTACAGTAGTCAATAGATGTATTGACTTTTGAATTTGGTTGATAAATTGATATATACTTTTGTTTACTTCATGTTTTGTTAATTGTTGAATTATTTGGATATATATGTACTAGTTTATAAAATTATGATAATTTAGTTGTAAAACCGTAAATAGATGTATTCACTTACGTATCTGGTTGTTTCTTGAATTGATATATACATCTATTAACTTTCACGTTTTGTTAATTGTTGAATTATTAGTACATACGTATATTTACTCAATCATCTATTAACTCATACATATTTTGATGATTGAGTTGCATGATTATATGTACGTGTATCAACTGGTATATGCATTTACTGACCTTCTATTTAAATAATTCTTCTAATATAAGGATGATAAGAAATCTGATGAAGAAAATGAAAGGCTGAATAATGAGTATAGTGATGAAGAATAACTCAACTTCTAAAGAAATTTCAGAGACAAAATCTGATGAGGATGTGCACCCAAAGAAAGATACCAATTTAAGAGGAAATGGAGAACATAAAAAGGTAAGCAAATCTTTCCATTAAAATCTATGTTTGATAATACTATGTACTAACTTCAGTACTTTAGGTTAATGTCAAAAAGGAGGTTATAAAGAAGGTCAATGCCAGAACAACGAAACAATAGGAGAAATATGTTTCTGATTCAGAAGATGGTGATGATGAGGTATTTTTAATTTGCTTTAGTATAATATGCATGCTGTATATATCGATAAATATGACTTATTTTTTTCATTTTGATTATGCTTAAGGACGATATTTACCTGATGAAAAAGTCCAAGTGAACGAAACCGCTTAAGATTAATCTTTGCTGTAAAAGTTCTGCCATGGAGACCATTAGGGCAAGACTAAGAGAAAAAAATCGTGTATCATTTAGAAACAGTTGCTTTGGCCAATTCTTAGACTTTTCGATGGGAAAAACATCGTCACAGCTTCTCCTACATCTAATACAACGACAATGCAAACCGAGAAAGGCTTCTGAATTGAATTTTAGAATTGGTGGAAATGTGGTAACATTTGGGATTAAGGATTTTGCAATAGTTATTGGCCTAAACTGTGGACCTTTACCACAATTAGACATAGACGCAATGAAAGGGGGATGGTATATAATGAATAAGTATTTTGAGGGTGAACGGTTTGTTACAAGGAAACACTTAGATCTGGCGTTTCAAGTGAGTAAGAATGCAACAGACGATGATTTGGTGAAGATCGCGCTATTGTATTGTTTAGAAAGCTTCATTCTACCGCATCAATATTCTGTTCATGTTAAAATGGAACATATCCTTATGGTGGATGATCCAGAACTTTTTAATAGTTATCCTTGAGGTAGGGTAGCATTTGATCTATTGATAGACTGTATGAAAAAGGCAACTGAGAGTCGAGGAAAGATATGCATTGGAATGGGCGGCTTCATTTATGCACTATTGATTTGGGCGTATGAGATAATTCCTACTTTGAGTATACCCCCAAATGCTTTTGCAAAACGTGTTGGAAATAACATTCCTAGGATTATCAATTGGGATGCGGTTGTGCAACCTGAATGGAAAAATTTGGCTTCCAAAATATTTGATTTACAAAAGGTAATCAATTATTTTTATTCCATTTTATCTTCATATATTTCATTGTTTTAGCGTTTATATTAATAAATACATTGTTAAATTGTGCAGTTGGAAGTAGTCCAAATGAATCCAACTGATGATGAGTTGTTGATGCCATATTTTGCACCATTTATATGTAATTCRTTAACATYRCGTAATGAAGGACARCATAGTGGAGYAGGAAAYGTAGGAGGCTTGYTTGTTAGAGAAGTAGCAATGAACGAGCGATTAGAGAAAATTGAGAAAAAACAAGATGACATTTTAAATAAACAGTGTGAAATTGTGAGTAAACTGGATGATATCGTCAGAACAATAAATTTAATGKTYGGTATTATGAAAACTGACTTTGCCAATGAAGAGGAGATACAAGCGAGGTTTATSGTCAKGGRGGATGTGATSGAGCTTGGTAAAGATAGYGTTGATTGGKTTWGTATTTACCCTGTATAATTACTTGATAATTGTAATTTGATTTTGCTAGCATTACATATTTTAAGTTATGAACTTTTGCAGGAAGGTAATTCTTTTAGGAAGGAATCTGAAACCTTGGAAACATAGCAACGAGAGAAACGTGGCTCAACATTAGATGATCATAACCAAGAAAAGAGCCAAAAAAACAATAAGGGAGGATTATGATGAAGACCCAACCGGTGGACACCAACCACAGAGAGATAGACCAGTGGTGGAAGCCAATATAGTTGATAAATCAACAACAGAAGGTGGTGGAATGGTTGAGAGGGGAGTCAATCAAGAGACAAAGCAAGTAATATTGTATACTTTGAATTATAGGCTTGGTTTTGTACTTAGACACACTACACAGTTTAAATTTGGTTGTATGAACTACCATATAGGCCGTGATGAGAACGATGACATTATCAATGAAGTCATTCGGTCAATCGATGAGTCGAAAATTATTGAAAAATTAAAATGGAGCCAAAAAGGAAAGGAAATTATAAAGGTAATGCTACTTGATGTGTATATATATTCATATACATTTTATAAAACAGATTATTGATTCTTTTTAAAACAGGATAAACCTCTGAATATGAATAAGTCTTCAAGGAGTACTGCTGAACTTGAAACTCTTTATGTAAAACGAGTGAGTAGTTCTTAAGTAGTTCATCAATGTCAAAGAATTCTTAAAGAAAATTTTGTTCTTAATGTTTATTTTATTATAATTTGAAGGCTAATAGTATTATCAAGATCCATTGCAGCAGAGTACTCAATCTAGGAGGCCGCTCACCGAGGTATTTGAACATTGACTATTATACTAATTAATGGTATACTTTTATGCTTCTCTTGATTATGGTAACTAATATATTGTATATAATTTTAGTTGAAATCCAATATGAATGCATTGAAGAAAGTTGGAGAAAAAAATGAAAAAATGGAGAAGATAGAAACAGTGACAGAAGGCATATATATTGATGTAATGAAAGGGACAAGCAAGACAACTATTCTAGAAAATCTGCCAAAAGGTTATTATCAGCCATCATTTGACCTATTAAGTCAGACCAAGGAATAACATATGGTTCCTATGAACTTATAGGATCGTTTTTGCATTTACTTATTTGGTGGGCTTGTAGTGTTTGATTTATCTTTTTCATTTAACTCATTTCTGGATATTAGATGTGACTATTTGTTGGGATGTTAGTTTTTGATCTATGGAGAATTTTGCGTTCTGATTTATGGAATTGGGCACTTAAAATGACGTCACCTATTTTCATTATCATTTTTATTTATGGGCTGTGAGTGTTCGATTTTTTAATTTTGTTTTGTTGTCGATGAATTATTGAATGATAAAGAACATGTGGGAGCATATACCCATGTGGCTAGGTTTATCTACCAAGTGATGCAAATATAAAGTAAAAGAAAAAAAGTAACAATATTAAATATAGATCAGAATAATAAACTTAAAATAGTTGTCAAATAAATATCTAAACTTAAAATATAAAAGCAAGCTCCCTATTGCAAGCAATATACCTAATGACCTACCTATTGTTTCATAAAAATAAAAACCAAATGGTGAAAAGTATAAAATATTCAAGTTGCAGGTGGGTTTTTGCAACGTCTGCGATTATGACCTAGTTTATGACATCTGCCACATCTTACTGTGTTAGTAGCTTCAACACGACTAATAAGTCTTTTTTTGCGTGGTCTACCAGCTGATCGTTTAACATTAGGAGGAAGAATCCCTGTATCGTCTGGTTGAACTGGTGGAAGTATGTTTTCAATCTGACCAATAGGGTGTACGTTCCATGAATATAACAGTTGTAATGTTTTAACATGGTAGAATTTGTGCACAAACGAGTGTAACTCTAATCCTCTACGGCTTATGGCAAGACATGCATGTGAACATGGAATGAAGTCTATGTCCCATTGTTTGAAATTGCAAGTACAATGGAGAATATTTACATTGAAATGTCTATCGTCGTTGTGGACATCATAAAGGTACTGGTCCACGGGGTATATCTGTACATTGACAAAATGAAGTATTAGTAGGCAACATTTCGAACGACAAATAAAATGATACAAGTATATGGACAACTTACATCCATCGTGCGGCTTTCTTTTAAGGATGATCGTAGAGCATTAGCAGTCCAGGGTGTAATGTCTATTTGTTGATAGCTATAGAAAGATCTACGCTCATAAAACCATCTCTGCATCAAGTCTCTTATATTCTGAAGAAGACAGATAACTGGTAGCTCACGAGCTTCACTAAAAGTGGAGTTGATGCTTTCTGATATATTTGTTGTCATTAAACCATGACGATTCTTAGTTGAAAATGCACGAGCCCATTTTTCATATCCAATTTCTTGCAACTCTTCCCTTATTTCTGGAACTACTTGTTCCAAATGTCTCATGTGTAATTCGAAATCAAATGTTGTGTATGCCCTCGCACACATATTAAAAAATCCATCGATCAGTTTGCATTTATGTCACTGTCTGAGATTTCTTAATAAATGGAAGATGCAAATTCCATGATGTGCAGCATCATATACACTATAAACTCCTTTCGATATACTACGGTGTCGATCAGACACTACCACTAGATCATTAGGTTCTCCAAGTGCAGATTTTATGTTACGGAAAAACCATTCCCATGATGTATCATTCTCAGAGTCAACAATAGCAAAACCCAAAGGGTATATTTGAGAATTTCCATCCAAAGTGCAAGAGGTCAGTAGTGTTCCCTGAAACTTGTTTTTTAAATGTGTGCCATCAACAGATATAATAGGAAAGCAGTGTTTCCATCCTTCTATAGAAGCAGACAAACTCATAAAGAAATATTTGAATTTGCCTATAGCGTCGACCTCATGAGCTGTATACGTCCCTGTATGATAATTACTGGTAAATGTACACATACACACCCAAATTGAAGTATCAATAAAAACAATATGGTGTGATGATAAAGTTTGATACATATACATATATACAACAGATGTACAATATCATTAAATATATATACATTACCTGGATTTTTCTCGATCAACTTTGATGCAAACGACGGAATGAGCGTATACGACTCTTCGGCTCACCCCATAATTGATTCCAATGCCTTCTCTTTTCCTCTCCAAGCTTTGTAATAACTAATATTAACACCATGGTTCTTTCGAGTGTAATTAATAATGTCGCGAGGACTACAGCTACTTTTAATGTCCATGATTGTTTTCGCACACTGACTAACCATCATTGAGGTTGCTTGCCTATGATCATTCTTTACAACATCAATAGAACAACTATGTTCCTCCACATATTTCATAATAACCCATATTTTGCCATCAAAGTAACGAGAAGAACGAAGGTACCAATTACATGATTCCTCTAAGCACTTTAATACCAACTGTTTTTTGTTGAATTTTACTGTTTTGAACTGAAAACTACCCTTTAAGGCTACAGAGTAAACTACCTTCTTCAATTCTTCCTTGCTTAGAGTAGTCCATTTTAAGATCTATCCAAAATTACAAATATTTTTATTTTTGTCTAAAGTTTAGCCTGTTTAGGATAAAATTCAACTGAAAATTATATGAGTGCCCATTATGAGATATTTTTAATAACAAAATTAAACATTATTCAAAAAAAACATTTAACGCAAATATTTACATTTATTAGTTAAGGATTATATTTATATTATTAATTAAACAAGTAAGGAATATTTTAATGTAATTATGATGATATGTTGGGATTAAAGTTATTCTAACATTTTCTCATTTACATGTTTCAATTATTCATTTATTGGGCCAAAGCAAGCATAACTCAGCGATAATTGACATATATCTCTAAGTAAGAGGTTGTGAGTTCGATCTCCTACCCCTCATGTTGTACTAAAAAAAATTGTAAGCACCAAGCAATGTACCCCCAATACCAAGCAAGAACTTCAATTTTCAGAGTAGACATTGGTGCAGAGCTTATAGAAGTTGGAACCGATGGAGAGCTCACTAGTACGAAAGCAGTTGGTGGAGAGCTAGCGTGAACAGAAGCAGCTAGTGCGAGCTGGCCAATGAAGAGCAGCTCACTAGAGCAACTCATAGTGAGAACGATGCACAACATCGCCATTGGTGCTGGAGTGAAAATTTAAAAATGTAAATATGGTCGGTGCACCTCGTTGGTGGTGGGTCCAATTATTGCATATATTTTGGGTATATATCAAATATTTGGCTATGCTTTATAGTTACCGTCATGAAATATTATAATATGTATACCGATTTTAGTATATATATGTAATGTATTGATTACTATTGTGTGTATTATCATTGTACCACGTGTATCATAAATCACAAAATATATATACTACAAATTATTATTACGTGCTTCATACTATACCAGGTGCATCATACCGTTCTCAATGTTATATACAAATTATACCACATGGATCCTGATCTCAAAGTATATCTAATTATATCATATCATATTGATCTCAAAGGTATACGCAAATTATACCATATGCATCGTACATTATGAAATATATAAGTATATATCAAATATATGTCGTATATATCAGTCACTAAGTTGACAGAACAAATTATAATTACAGAAACATGTTTTTTACGGAACATAAAAAATAATCATTTATAGAATAAGGTGAAATTGCTTAGTAAAGGAAGCCGGTAGAAATAATGCCAAAAATTAAAAGATATCCAAATATAATGGAAAAACAAAAAAACTTCTACATAATCATTAATTAATAAATGTAAATATTTATAATAAATAATAAGATTAAGTAATATTAAAAATTAATTATAATAAATCATTATGTACGAGGCTAAGAGAAAGACACTAGGTTCCACATATGGATACACGAGTGGACGCGTCGCGTCGAGCCCCCTCCATCCGAAAAGCGTATTGTGTCATGGTCATGCTCGTCCAGTGCATCTCACTCATGGCCGCATGCTCATGATAGCCTCCTCCCTCCTACTTTTATTCCATGTATTTACTTTTGCATGTTATTACCTTTTCATTATACTTTTGGTGGCAAGTGACTCCTCGCCACTTTGCATGTTCACATCTGCCAAAGGCAAAATGCTTTATAATCTACCTTAGGGGGTACACCTAGTCTCCTCCCTACATCGAGTTGTATTCTTGTCTTGCCATTAATCTATTCTCTTGCATTCAAGCATACAACAAGCTTTCCAAAATGTCTTCAAACGTTTTCCAAACCTTTTTTCTCTAACCCCGTTTTCTCGAGAACGGGGGTGGAGGTTGCAATATATAGCCGTAGTGCCGCCGGCTATCCGATTCTCGTTGGCTGACTTGCTCATGGACAAGATCAAGTGCCGCACAATTGCTTTGGGAGTTCTTTGAAAAGTGCGATTGTGACACACTGTACGCGATGCGTACCGAAAAAATGTTAAGCGCACCAAAAGAAGAAATGTTGAGCGTACCAAAAAGAGAAATTGAGTACATTGTATGGACGCCCCCAATGTAGTTAGAGGTACCATCAAACTCATCTTACGAGCATCTGTTGTAGTGTTGGGAGCGTACCTTAGATGCTGCTGCATCACAATATGCTAGTAGGAAAAGGACATGGAATAGGTGGAGGGGTCTCCACACCTTCAATTGGCTCTCCATTCTGCTCCATCACTATCTCCTTCCATGTATAAAGAAAAGAACAACCATAGCAAAGATAAGTCATATTTCCCTACACAACTCCATGTGAAGATATGGCACACGCTCTCAAGCAGAATCTCACCATCGAGATTATTGTCTCATTACTCTTTCTGCTTCATACCTGTTTGCTCCATACTTGAGTTATAAGCTCATGAGCTTATTATCCTAGGTTGGAAGAAGTTGATAGGATCCCCTTTTTTACGTCCCATGTCCCACCCGTGTGGCGACATGGGGGCGAAAAAAGGAAAGAGAGGGATGGGGTTTCTCCTGCTTTTGGCATAGTGGCCTCAAGTGGGAGGCCCGCACGACACCCATGGCCGCATGCTCATGATAGCCTCTTCCCTTCTACTTTTATTCCATGTATTTACTTTTGCATGTTATTACCTTTTCATTGTACTTTTGGTGGCGAGTGACTCCTCGCCACTTTGCATGTTCACGTCTGCCAAAGGCAAAATGCTTTATAATCTACCTTAGGGGGTACACCTAGTCTCCTCCCTACATTGAGTTGTATTCTTGTCTTGCCGTTAATCTATTCTCTTGCATTCAAGCATACAACAAGCTTTCCAAAATGTCTTCCAACGTTTTCCAAACCTTTTTTCTCTAACCCCGTTTTCCAAAACCGTTTTCTCGAGAACGGGGGTGAAGGTTGCAATATATAGCCGTAGTGCCGCCGGCTATCCGATTCTCGTTGGCTGATTTGCTCGTGGACAAGATCAAGTGCCGCACAATCGCTTTGGGAGTCCTTTGAAAAGTGCGATTGTGACACACTGTACGCGATGCGTACCGAAAAAATGTTAACTGCACCAAAAGAAGAAATGTTGAGCGTACCAAAAAGAGAAATTGAGTACATTGTACGGACGCCCCCAATGTAGTTAGAGGTACCATGAAACTCATCTTGCGAGCATCTGTTGTAGTATTGGGAGCGTACCTTAGATGCTGCCGCATCACAATACGCTAGTAGGAAAAGGACATGGAATAGGTGGAGGGTTCTCCACACCTTCAATTGGCTCTCCATTCTGCTCCATCACTATCTCATTCCATATATAAAGAAAAGAACAACCACAGCAAAGATAAGTCATATTTCCCTACACAACTCCATGTGAAGATATGGCACACGCTCTCAAGCAGAATCTCACCATCGAGATTATTGTCTCATTACTCTTTCTGCTTCATACCTGTTTGCTCCATACTTGAGCTATAAGCTCATGAGCTTATTATCCTAGGTTGGAACAAGTTGTTAGGATCCCCTTTTTTACGTCCCCTGTCCCTCCCGTGTGGCGACATGGGGGCGAAAAAAGGAAAGAGAGGGATGGGGTTTCTCTTGCTTTTGGCATAGTGGCCTCAAGCGGGAGGCCCGCACGACGGGCTATTAGCTCAATTGTAGAGCGTGCCCCTGATAATTGCGTCGTTGTGCCTAGGCTATGAAGGCTCTAAACCACATGGATAGTTCAACGTGCTCATCAGCGTCTATTCGTGTTAGCCTCAATATTGATCCAGGCTCCAATATCGACCATTAGAGTGCATTCAATAGAGCAGCATACTATTTGCTTAATAACGAACAATAATTATGAGTTAGCGAGACAAGTAATAATTCAATTAATTAATAAATGTGCACTATTCGTTAAGGAAACGCGATTAACATATGGGGGTGGGGGATCGAACCCACAACCTCGTGGTTGGAGGTATATGTCAATTATCGCTAAGCTATGCTCGCTTTTGGCTATCATACATGTAATCTAAATAAACATGTTTGAAA